AGTCATATTGGTATTCAATAATTTTGATAATTTACTGAAATGAAATTCTAAATAATTCAATTTTTTACTGTGTGAAGTGTTGTCGAACTTTTTAACAAGTTACGTGTTAAAATTTGCCATAATATCATCAATATATGGATTATGAACATTTTCATGTTTGATAACTCAAATTGAACTATGTAACATAGGTAAAAAATCGGTAAATTTCAAGTTAAAATCCCAAAATGTTATCAGGATTCGGCGTCCTCGTCCTAGAGGTTAAACAATAATTTCTAACATTTGCAGTTTGGTACGATTTTTCATCCTCAGCCATTCCTGCTGGAGCTACACTATATCACTACCCCTGAGGTATTGTTGTGCAGGACATGTAGCCAAGTTTCAGAAATCAAAGTTCTGCTGAATGTTCTTGTCTATACTATCACGTACCAAACAACCATATCTCTTCTGCAACCATCTGTTCAGTCTAAATTAATTTTGAAAATAAACTATTTCTTAAATTTAACATCTACTAAGCATTTAACTGTAAAACAATACATTTATAACACCTGCGAGAATACAATGGCCCCCTTTTCACACCTAGCCTAAATTAACACGGACTGTCCGCCACGAATTCAATGCAATCTACAGCTGACCATTTCTTGACGGACATCTCGTATTTCGTTTGTCGTGAAGATTCCTCTCCAAGATGAAGATTGTCCTGTGTCTCTCAGCTCTACTAGCTCTGTCCAAAGCAATAGATCAGATCTGCTTGAAAATGTCCCCATGTAAGGCAGACTGTTACTCCGCGTGTGATAACCCCTGTAAGTGTGATCTAAACGCTGAAGGGGGTGTTCCCTTCCCTCTGTACGGTGGGATATGCCAGGAGGCCGGGTTCTGTGAATCTGATTTCCTTGGCCGGGAAGAATGTATTAAAGAAGGAGGACCCTCCTGTCCTAGTAAAATGGTTGATATAGACGAGCTGCTGGAGAACTTCACCACGTACGACTTCAGAATAGATGTAAGAAGTGTAGGAGAATGGGATGAGGGTCACGCGGAGATATCCTCTCTAGCACCTGGACTTGCAAATAGTCCTGCTGGAAACTATCTTCATATCTTGGAGGGTAAAGAAGACGGTAAGATCTTGGTTTATTGCAGGTCTGGAGGCAGAGCTTTTCAAGCATCGCAAAACCTCCTGAGGTACGGGTTCAGCAAGGTTCATTCCTTCTACAACGGTGGATTCCAAACCTTGGCTGCTAAAGTAAAGGAGGTCTCAGAGCGAGACACAAAGAACCACCCTCACAAGAACTTGTGCTACATAACTGGAGGATCTGACATCTGTCCCACTCCCCTTCCTCGCTCTCACGTTGCCTCTGCTCAAGATATCTTCTCTTTGGGAGATAACGTGAAGTTAGTGGACGTCAGACCCTTTTCCTACAAAGAGAGTTTCGCTGAAGCTTCAAGAGCACCAGCAAACAAGAAGAAAGCCCTCAAGAGGTTCCTGAAGACAGTTGATAAAGACGTTGACACTCTCGTTACATTTTGTGAAAAAGGAATTTTTGCCTTCATGGGAGCAAAAGCTTTGATCAACCTGGGATGGAGCGGTCCCATTTACTTCTACGATAACGGTGGTTACCAGGACCTTAAGAAATTGTTTTAGTTTATCTAGGGCTAGGGAAGATTTGTAGCGAATGGGTTTAATTGTGAGCTATTGACTCTCTTATCTTATCAGTTAGTTACTGAAATTACTGTTGTTTTTATGCTTCCATTAAAAATGTAAATTAAAGTGATTGTAATACTACAATGTATGCATAACGAATTATTGTTTGCTTTAACTACTTTTAGTTATATATTATATATTATTTATTCAGAATAAATCGAATATTCAAACAGCTACTGTATCATTTTGTGATCGTTGTCATGAACATATTGTGACCTTTCTTTACAACTATAATTTCATTACACTGATTCATATAGCTAATCAGGAGTCAGGACTGACTTCTTAAGATATTCTTCAGATATTGTGTTAACCAGCATAAGGGATGGAAGTTTAGAAAAGCTTGTTATTGTGATTTCTACCCAAGATACCTTCTAGAGTGACTTACGGAAGGGGCATGTAAATGGTAAATATCTAGCTTTCGTAATACAGGGGCAATACAAAAGGAATTGATTTAATGAAGTCCGAGGAGTCCTCCCTCTCCTCACGTCCTAAGATGGCGTTTCCCTTGTATCATATATAAAAGATCCCTACCCGTTGCTCTAGAAAAGACGATCTCCAAAGCTGCAGACAATCATAGCACGCTCTGCCCCAATGAGCAAGCAGAACCCCCACAACCGACCAATCAGAGGACAGTATGAGATCTTATGAGTAACACTTTATTGTAACGTGCTGTTTAAACATGTCTCAGTTTCCTGGCTGTCTACTGTCAGTCTTCACTTGCAGTTTACTGTCTGTTTATCCCGTGCACTGTTCCTGGAGTAGATCACATCTCCCCGTGTACTGTTCCTAGAGTAGATCAAATCTCCCCGACTCCTTCAGGAAACGGAAATTGTACCCTTTTTGTTGTTTTCGACTTATATAACTGATGAACCCAAGATCATCACCGATGTGGACTTTGCAGATGATATAGCACTTATATCTGAGGACATGGACAAGGCTAACGAGTTCCTGCTCAGAGTAGAATCGGCGGCAGCAAGCGTGGGACTACACATAAACGAAGGCAAGACCAAGGTCATGACACTGAATATGGAGGATCGATCTAGCGACCTACAAAGTCGATCCGGGGAAGCCATAGAAAATGTAGATGATTTCATCTACTTAGGCTCCTGGATTGAGAGCACAGATAGGGAGATAAGGGTTAGAAAGGGAAAAGCGTGGGGTGCCCTACATAGACTGAAGGATATCTGGAAATCCAAACTCTCAAAGAGCCTAAAGATTAGATTGTTCATAGCGGCTTGTGAATCAGTACTGCTCTACGGATCAGAAACCTGGACACTGACAAAGGCTCAAGAGAAAAGTTTGGACGGGACATACACAAAGATGTTGCGTATGGTGCTGGGTATCTCATGGAAGGACAAGGTCAGCAATATAACTTTGTATGGTAGCCTCCCAAGGCTGTCAAACAAGTTACGAAGCAGGAGATTAAAAATGGCGGGACACTGCATCCGACATCCTGAGCTACTTGCCAGTGATTTAGTCTTATGGGAACCTACGCACGGTAGAGCACAGCAAGGCCGACCAAGACAAAGCTACTTGTCTATGTTACTGAAGGAAGTTGGGACAAACTCTAAAGAGGAACTGCGAACCCTGATGCGGGACAGGGATATATGGAGGGGGTTTTCTGGCGTAGATCGGACTTAGCTCCGACATAGTAGTAGTATATAACTAGGTTTTAGAGTTAATGTCTGGGTTACAGTTGGGGGTTCATTTGTGAGGCTTCGTTTACTATTCTTGATCAGTGTGACGTCATCAGTGTAACCTTGTGTAATATTCTAGATCAAAGGAAGGGTTAATACAATGTACTAATGTAGCCTAAGTCATCAGTGTGAGATTATTGAGACTAGATTTTATAAATTATACACTTATGTACTTCAGACCAATTCGACGTTGTCTATTGCATTCGCATAAGTTACTTTTCTTACTACTATTCTCGTATCAATTTCGATAAATTTGTCCCATTTTTATCATAATCACTCCCATTCACTCGGTTACTAGGAAATATGATCATACCTAATCAGCCCACATAAAAATATAGCTGTATTGCGACCTACATTATAATGTGGTAACTAAAAAGAGAGCAACTAAGATCACCCAATAATTGAAGTGATCACCACAAATTATTGTAAATCACGTGATCTAAAGAGTTAGCCCAGCACGATGAGAAGGCCCTGGTTACCAATCACTATTGGGGTGTATATTTAGAATTATCAGCCGTATTACCTTAGTTTACTGCAGACAACGCTTATCAGTTTTTACGTGTTTCTTCTTGAACTATGCTCATTGTTCATTAGACTTTATTACACTTATTTTAGTTTTTGTAGTATATATCCACACCAAACAACAACAGTATTTGTTGTGGGTAACTTCAGCTGTCAGCTATCAGTCAGCAATGCCAATTGGCGATTCATGGTCAACAACCGTTGAAGAACCGTGGTTTATAGCAGAAAAACGCGAGCCAGCTGTAACTGAAAGCCACAAAATAGGCTATTTACCTGCCTACACTTTGCCAGACCTTTCCGGTCGCAACTTGAGACAAACTACACTTATCCTGTAGCATATTATAAACAAATTCTGCGAGGACTTGTTCTATAGAATAAGTTTGCAATAAAAACGGTTATTCTGGTAACAAAAGGCTTCACCGAGATTCGAACTCAGGATCTCCTGTTTACTAGACAGGCGCTTTAACCAACTAAGCCATGAAGCCGATACTTGCTAATTTTGCGTTAACTCTTTTTATAAAAAGTTTACTATCAGAATTAATATGCTAATAGCAAAAGGCTTCACCGAGATTCGAACTCGGGATCTCCTGTTTACTAGACAGGCGCTTTAACCAACTAAGCCATGAAGCCGATACATGTAGCCGTGCACTCAATCATTCTGTTGTCGAGCATTCACTACTTCAAATAGACACTGTCTACTAACTGCAAATTAAGTTATTTAGTTCTTAAAGTGATTTAAAATTACCATCGATTTTTCCCTTTATTAACGGCTCTGTAAAAACTTTAAAAGGTTGTGTTCCCCACTTCCCGTTGTTACCATAGTAACACTACCTTATATGGTGTAAGATTATAAGCTACTCACCCTGCTGACTGCCGCAATTAGCTTCTCGTGTGATTTCTTCATCCTCTACATGAGGAGCCCTGTTAGTTTCACTTGTCAGTAAGAACACGTGACTTGAGTCATACACTATTTCTGTGATGGAGCTTTTTAAAGATTGGATTTGTATTTAGAAAACATAATAGAAAGATACCATTTTTGCAACCGAAAATGTTTACAGGCAATTCTAATTTTTTTTCTTGATAGGATGGGATCGTCCGACGAGTACGAGGAAGAGATTGTCGAAGAGATAGAGGAAATAGTGGTGAGTTAATATGTTGATTAAATCTGTAGTCAGCTAATCTAAAGAATAAATTAATTGGTTTCATCGAGTTAGATGGTTTCATCAATGTGGTAACAAAAAATAGTTAACAATGATAGGAGAAAGAATCTTGATAGAGCTAATAACTTCACGATGGATTGAACTTTGAACCAAGTTTGCTGACCAGTATGAATTAATTCGGGCCATTTCAAATGCCCCCGCATTTTCTTCTGGAAACAGTGGAACAAGCATCTATCTAATTCGAACTTTATTGGGAAATTTTATTCTTATTCAATTATTTAATAAATATTTATGTGTAAGTTTTCGATAAACATAAAAACTAAATAAGGGCAGTAAACATAATCAGATTACCACAAAATTATTGCCCTCCGTGAGGCTCGAACTCACGACCTTCAGATTATGAGACTGACGCTCTAACCAACTGAGCCAGGAAGGCGCTGAGCAACGAAGTATTAAAAGGGTGTAATTAATGTTTGACAATGCTCCAGTAACTCAACTTGCTTCACTTGACCTACAAGCAGTGAGCAGTGTAGTGGTTAATGCTTACAATTTTCTGAATTCCATGATTGTGGAATGTACATTGTACATTGTACATAATTTAATGATATAATTATTTAACTGATCGGCTAAAAGAGATACGGAAGTAGTGTGCACTCTGCACTGTGCAGTATTAACTATTAAGTATACCTTAATCTTATCACTGATGATTCTTTCTTAACAGCTCTTAGCACTTATTTAAACTTTAGAATGTGCTTCACATTATGACTTATGAGTTATGTGTACTACGAGGATATTTCATAATTTATGGAAACTCTTATCATTTAATCCTAATTATGCACATAGAAATTCGACACCATAAAAGCATCATGGACATGATTCCCATATCAACGCAATTTTTCGCTGCCTTGCAGAGTGATTTATAAATCGACAGGAAAAACGGATTTTGTGTTAGCAAAAGGCTTCACCGAGATTCGAACTCGGGATCTCCTGTTTACTAGACAGGCGCTTTAACCAACTAAGCCATGAAGCCGATATGTGATATAAATTTGTTTATATTCTAATTATTCCAAATTCAAATTGTTAAAACACAGTGATGAAGTGTACCCAGTACAATATAAATCAGGCCCACACGTGACACAACACCTTCTAATAGCCATAGTCTTGATATTTTAACTTATTTTAAAACGCCACATTCATTCCTAAACCACTTATTTATCCAGGAAATTGTGACTACAAGGCCGGCTGATAACCATGATGGATCTAAAGCTAGCTCTAGAGCAAGCAGTCCAGAACTTAGAAATGATACAGAGATAGTCGAAATAGTGGAATATTCCGAGGTAAAGCTTTGTTAATTCCATTAATAACTTTAACAATCCTATCTAATTATATTAAAATGTTTCTTTGTTCGTGAGTGGGTTTATCTCGATCATAGATTACCATGCATCATCGTGGGTAGTCGGTAGAGATTCTCATTTCGTCCGCAATATTCTACCTTTCTAATTTTATTATAACCGCAATTTATATGAGACTATTTACATAAAAGCTGAATAAAAAATGCGAGTTAATGAAGTTGGAACACCCCTAATTATATAATCTGTTAAGAGTAAAAATTAAATTAGGTCCCTGGAAAAATTTGTGATTACATACTATATAGTAATGAAGGCTGGTATAATATTCGGCCAAAAATGCTTTTTCATATTCATATAGTATATACCTAATCTAATATACTCTTGGTATTCTAAAATCTTGTAATATTTCCAAACGACGTAAATTGTAAGAATATTATCTTGTGAAGGAGGTTGTGACCAACAGCAAGCCGGCTGATAACGGTGGTTCTAAATCTAGCTCTAGAGCCAGCAGTCCAGAACTCAGAAATGAAACAGAGATAGTCGAGATAGTGGAATATGTCGAGGTATCTCATTAAAGCTTTACTGATTTCATTAAATATCTTAATAAGCCATTTGTCCGTTTCATAAAAAGCTTTGTATGCTATATGAAACTCAACCAAAATAAATAATAAATATGCAACTAATTGTATTCAAAGTAAATTCCGGGTTTTAATTGTCATCTTCTCCTCTTAGTGTAATTAAGGCATATAATATGGTATAATAATATAATAATATGTAAAATGGTTATGTTAGGTATATCAGAACACACAAGGAAACTTGTGTTTGAGCACAGTCTTATAATGGTGCAGATTATAGCGCATATTGAACCAGGAAATCGTGAAAATAAAACATTTCATAGGCGGGTGAGCCAGTGGAATTGACCGTCGATACCGACAAACTGACCGACAAACTGACCGACAAACCGGAGGTGACCGACATAAAGGACGGACGGAATACACCTGAAGATAGACCTATCAAGAATGGTAAGGACAACAAATATTGTAAGCTAAATGAACTGTTTACTGTGAACAATTAATACGTTACAATGTACAACTGATGAGACACTTTGCTACTCAATCATTTTTAATCTCAGTTTTGCAGGAAAATAAACTGAAACGAAGTCAAATCCCTCAATAGCAATGAACAAAATTAATTGTATCAATTTGTATTAGAAGAAATAAAACACAGAAGACCGCAATATTCAACAATATAGTGCCCCAACTAAAATATCAAACCCACTTATTCTTAAAATTACTTCATAATGTGCCGCAATATTCAACAAATCTGCTGATTTAGGTCAATTTCTTTAACAAATAATCAATAGATTTATGGATTACTGGCTCAGATCTCTGGCTAACTGGCTTAAAACTTTGGCTCACTAAAACTCACTTAGTGGATGTACATGGTGTTTTAAAATAATGTCCTGATTTAAAACAAACGATGTAAGTCTTGACTTAGCGGATTTAAGTCTTGACAGTTGACTACATTACAGATTACAGCGACTCATGCTCAAATCGTACTTACTCATAGAGCGAGTAGTACTAGATATACTCAGTAAATCGAGGAAATAATTGCCATCATAATACCTCTTTTTGCCCGCCGTCATTATGATGATACAATTACAAAGATAAGCAAATAAAACATCGATGGAAGATTGCATTTGCCACCAACAAATTTAACACAGCAAATAAATCTTACAATCACATGAAATTATTGATACAAGAAACATACCAGGATTTTCACCACGCAGACAGGCGCACTGAAGGTAGCCGCACCACGAAATAGAAAATAGGGCATATAATAACTATAAGTTGACATGCTCCGATAACTGATATTGAACTACGCAACCAATCCTGTGTCTGTCATCAAAATCACGTGACGCACTATTGGCCAATCCCGCAGCACGCGCGCACTGTCCTGATCAGACGCTTTTCTTTTGTTTACATTTGTTATCGCATATTACCGAGTTTGATACTTCCATTTGTACACGCGGATACTTCGTATTTATCAGATAGGAGATAAGTCACCAGTTTAACTCAGCGTTAAGGTAGAACTGATAAATCACTCGCACCACAATAAAAGTGCCCCTGAGGGATATCCTTTATAAATCGACGGGAGGCGGGAACCGTTGATCTTGTTCATTCTCCAAGGTTACCACATCACGTGCAGGGCTAAGGTGTTTCAATTGCCAAATCACTATTATAGTTGTTGTACTTGTTTATGAATTGGTAAATCTAGTGATCCGTTATAAGAGCTGTGACGGTATCTGGCTTACGAGTATAACTATAATTATATCCTCGAGTATATATATATACTCACTTTTATGAATGACCCCTTATAAGTATAATCTCACCCACCCTATAATCTCACCCACACTGATAAACATCCCGTAATTTCAGATGGAAGTGGAGGAAGAAGATCCAGACAGAGGAAGAAAAAGAGACGTTCCTGTAACTGTAGTCCTTGTCCTTGTTCTTCTGGTGGCGGGTGCTGGAGAGCGGCTTCCTCTCCCTTCGGTTAGGAAACAGAGTTTAGCAGCAAATGAAATCTTTTCTCACTTTGACTTCCTCGATTCACTTACAATCATCAGGCTACTCTCCTCCCACATTATTTAAATAATATCATTTCTCAGGACGTAGTAATTATGATCCGGAGATAATTCCTTTCCTGACCGTCTCGCCCAACCGAAGTTGCAGCAGTAGCAAACATGGCAGAGTCAAACGGAAACACCGAGTAAAGAAATCAGTCAGCAGCTCTAGTAGCAGCAGCAGCAGCAGGTTTGGAAATACTTTTAACTTATTTCAACATAGATAATAGATATGCTTTTTGTTGTTACAAGTCACGAGGAAAGGGTTTTTAATTATGTAAAAAATGGTCCAATTACTGCAAATTCTTCTAGTGCTTCATGTATTTATTTAATTTAAAATAATCCTCAGCAGTTCCTCGTCCAGCTCCTCATCTAGTTCCTCATCCTCGGACGAAGGCAGACCTCAAATGATGAACTGTTCACCCGGACTCCAACCTCAGATGATGAACTTCTCTCCTGGACCCCAACCTCCAATGATGAACTTCTCTCCCGGACCCCAACTACCCACTACTTTCCAAGTCGTTCAGCCTCAGATAGTCACTTCATCTCCTGGTGCCTTCCCTCAACTCAACTTCAGCAACGTTAGTTCTTTCTGCAAGATGTGATTGTCGTTAAACGGGATAATATTAGTTACGTAATTTTAGTTTTTCGGTACAAATAATTCGGGGTGGAGCTAGCAGCACATTTTAAATTGTTACAACTGAAACCGCGAATATTTTCTAACAGCAAAAACCATCCCTACCAACACATTTTCTCAGACGGAGTCAAAGAACCAATCCAGTTCTCCCGTCACAAGAATCATCAGAAGGGTTTCTGGAATATTTTTTAACTTTTCTGAATACTTATAATACTATAGTACTATGTTTATGGTATCAACACACTGCTTAATATTTTATTAATTTTTACGTACCTTCATTGGAACAAATAACATTTTGGGTACTTCTTTTAGAAAAAGCCGAAGAAGCCTAAGAAGGTTATACAGATACAACCGAGTTCAAGCTCATCTTCTTCCAGCAGCAGGTTTACATTTCTTTCTTCGTCAGCAATTCTTGTTTTTAGACTGATTTAATGAAGTTTTTACTACTGGACTAGATATTTAACATGTGCGTTGAAATTTCGAATCGTTAAAACAACTTCGACCTGTTCCCTCAAGTCATGAAAATCTCGGAATATAATAACCGGCCCTTACCTTAACTAATACCACTTACAGCAGCAGCAGCAGCAGTAGTAGCAGCAGTAGTAGTAGCAGTAGCAGTGACTCAGACGGACCCGGAGTTCCAGGTCCGGACGGTAAAACCCCTCTCGGAGCCGGGATGGAGAGGGTTGCTCAGAGTGTAATCATGCACTACTTGGAGAAACAGGTTTCAGTTTTAACTTTGCAGTGTTTAACATAAACAACATGAATAGTAGTTCAAGTTGTACTTTGTGTCGGGTGTATTATTAATAAAGTATAAACTGTTCGTGTCACGTGACATATCCATCGTTCTCACTTCTCTGCCTTTCATTATAAGTCAGAAGTCTTAAATCTTATGACTCATAGCCAAAGAAGAAGAAGAAACCAAAGAAACCAAAGAAGCCAAAGAAGCCCAAAAAGGCTAAGAAACCAAAAGCACCCATTCTCATTCAACCCTCTTCTAGTTCTTCTAGCGAGGAAGTTGAAGAAATTGTGAGTGTTTAAAGTTTGTATATCGAACTTAGTTATGCTATAATCATGAGAATATAATGATAATATGTACTATATAAAGTTAACAATTAATCCCCCAATCATTCCGTCAGATCCACATGCCGAGTCCAGCTCCTCCTCCTCACCCTATAATCCTAGCAGCTCCTCAACAACAGATGCCACCCATACCTCGACAAAGGATCGTCCACAAGAAAACTTACATCAAGGTACGATATTTTTATTCAATTTTCACTGATCGGCTTTTCCCCCTTAATTATCTATTAAAGGCGATTTGATACCAATTGAGTAATGAGTATCAATCATCAACACATTAGCCTTGATTAATATTTAGATAACTTTGATGAGTATCAAGATGGAGGATGGAAAGTGGTATTACCGTTCTAATAAATGTTGCAGGTACCGATAGTTACAGCGCATGTAGTTGAGGATGAGCCCCTAGAGTGGCATCAGACCAACAATAACTGGCAAATGATAATGATGCCCGGCCAGCAGGTAATATTTTAGATCTATTGACGTTAAAAGTTAAAAGTTAAACCCAAAAAACTCATAATCTGTTAAGATAAGAAATGATTTGATAGGTTGTTACAACCTAAGTTCTTACAACGGGATTAATAAATGTGCTATTTTTCTATTGCGAAAAATCGTGAAACACGCGAACGCAGGACGAATTTTATGATTTCGCTCCTAAATGCTGCCTCTACATACATGTTACCTAATGTTGAGTGACCTCTTCTGATACCATTTAATCCAGATACTTTCTCCTCCAGGGACCAGTCAACTACACTAACACCACTACAACTATTCCTCAAATGTATCAGACCAACTCTACAGTTATCAACACACCTGTTGACTCCTCTTCCTCCTCTTCCTCTTCCTCTTCCTCCTCTTCCTCCTCCTCCTCTTCCAGTGATAGTGACAGTCCCGTTATCAAGGTAGGTGATATTCTTGGCTTGTTGCAGCTTCGTGTTGCAGTACTAAAAATGGATTTTCTTAAATAATGAAATTTAATGTTACTCTTGTGTTCTATTTTAAGCTTTCGTAATTAATATGTTAATTGGATAAAATGAACAAATTTATCCTATTCCCAAGACGATGAAGAATCAAAATTTAACCCGCAGGGTAACTTATAATTGTCAAGTTCTTTTTTTTGAGAATTTTTCTCCAATTTGTTTTAACCGACTTACACTGTACACAAATTAAAAAATTTAATCCGGAAACTTTTTTTGCTTTTTGTTTGTATTTCAGTTTAATGCTAATTTCAGGCGAAGAAAGTAAAAACTATACAGCGAAAAACACCATCTAAATCTCCAAAAATAGCCCTCAAAATCCCAAACTGCACTAAAACATATGAGCATTCTTTTGAAACCCCCAAACCTGTTGACAAGCCTGCTCGAGAGAGAAAACCAAGTGGTTCGATAATGAGTGTAACTATTCCAAAGAGAAAGATGAGAGTCAGTACTAACTGTGACATCAAGCCCATATCAGGATTTATTGAGAAGGTTTTAAAATGTTACGTTATTTTTTATCAGATTTTCGTTACGGTTTTAAAAAAAATTATAAAACTGGCTATTTTGTGTTTTTTCGATTCCCTACAGCATACGGTCCAATGCTAATGTACCGTGCAGTTTTTAATTTACAATATAATTGATATTTTGGGACAAAGTGAGAGTCTCCACTCAGTTTTACAAACAAATTCATCTTAAATCATTCCTGAGGTTGAAATTGAGGCGCAAACTATAAAAGGAATGGAATTTGACAGTGAACCGTTGTGTTTGGAATGCATAGAACAAACTTTTGGGTGTAAAATCCAACCTTACCCGCGTTTCGAAAACATTGTTCCATGTACTTGTGAGGTAGGGAAAGTTCCTTTTTTTCTTTTTCATTTTTCACTCCAAGTAAGTGTTTATACTTTAAATATGACCGGCGTATCACTCCATCTCCATGATGGCGAACAAAAACAAAAACAGTGTAATATGTACATTGTACCTTCTTGTTACTTTTAAGTTCTTTCCTCCCTCCCCTAACTCTCATCCTTTTACAGAGAGGTACAATAAGAAGCCCGCAAAGGGTCAAGAGTGGTTACAGACCCTCCACCACCATTACCAAGAGTGGTTACAGACCCTCCACCACCATTACCAAGAGTGGTGTTGTTAACCAGCGTTCTGCAATCAGTGCCAGGCGAGGTTCGTTCAAATTTATATATTTTAATTGAAACAGAGGCGTGTCTTCTTCAACAAACACTATAAACTAAAATTTCTGAATTGTGGCATATTTTTGTTACCTTCCTATATTTTCTGGAAATAATGATTTGAAATTGTGTTACTCGATTTCCGAACCATAGCTCCAGTAAATAGCCAGTACAATCCCAACGGTTATAACATCCTTATCACATCACCCACACAGTTCCCACCCGACCTAGCTCTCCTCGTGGCAACACCAACATAACAGTAACCGCTGGTTGTGATCTGATGAGAACACCCCCGGGTATGCAATACAGTCCCAGAAGTGTGGGTCCAGGAGGGGGAGTGGAGGAGGTAGTGGAGGAGACTATTGTTACTGAGACAATAAGGTGGGCATATTCCTGAAATGTTTGTATTACTTAATTCGAAGTTATCTTTTCTTTATTTATTTTTATTTATTTGTCAAATCTAACGAAAGCACCCACTCTCTACTATAACAGACGGAAAGCAAGCCCATATGGTGGATCACGACAAGCAAGCCCACGTGGTGGGTCACGTGGTGGGTCACGTGGTGGATCACGTGGGGAGCCACGTGTTAGAGTCGCCAGTCCTAGGGGGATCAGAGGTGCTGGTCAACCAACCCTTGTTTCTAATTCGAGGTAAATATCTTGTTATTGTCAATGAGGACAATTTAATTATTCGTTTTTAAAGTTACAAAATAAATTCCTGGTAAGGAAGTATGTGTCGTGTAATCATCACGTCTTGGTTTAACGAGTTCTCGAATCTTCTTTTAACCTGCTATATTTTCAGAGGCGGAGTTTCGGTGGCAAAGCCTAAAATGTCCATCTGCAAGCAAGGTAACAACACTGGTCGTTCATCACCTGGTTCAAGAGCGGGTAATGAGGGAGGAGTGAGGAGGGCTGGTTCCCCTGCTGGAGCAGTTCAGAGAGGTAAGGTTCTTAACGGCTTGATTTTATATCTATTTATAGCTTCTTTAAGGAAAATCAGAAATTAGCAACAGCAGCATATCAGGTCAGAAACGGCAGATAATCAGATATACAGTTTCCAGAAAGGTTTTCTTTTCAGATCAGAGCAGTTTGGTCGAGCTGAATTTTACACAACCACCACACCCTCCGGAGCCTCCGGATACTGGACAGGGCACAACAATATCAGGGTCCTTTAGTTCAGTAACCAGTTGTAATTTGCTGCAGGCAACACAAGTTAGTGTTGCCAAGTATGAACCACTTATTGTAGGGCTGTATGGTATTCAAGACGAGCGTGAAGTTATGATCTCTGGCACTACGTTTTATGACAAACAAGCCCAAAATCCAAGAGACAGCCACGATTTATTAGTTAAAGTCAAAGAAAGAAGCAATGTGGGAGATGTCAGTCCGCGGAACGAATTTACAGTTGCAGATAACATCTTTCCAAGTGTTGTTACTGAAGGTCCGTTACCAAAGGATATGATACGGGAAGGTGAAGTCTCAATAGCAGAAGTTGAAGTTGCACAAATCTCTAAAAATAGAGTTATAGAATATTTTAACACTCATGAAGAATCGCTTGATTCTTTTGAAGACAGTAACAAGCCTAAACTCGATCTTACTCAGGAGCAGATAATTAATCCATCCTCACCAAGTGTTCATAACAAGGAAGAAACAAAATTATTTTCATCAAGTGACAGAAAGCAACGGTGCCAGGATCCAATCATGCAGCCACCGGGTACTTCTAAAGAAGGAAATCTCTCTTCACCCCAAACGTACCATCGTGCCAATGATTTGAAGAGAAACCCTGGCCTTACAGAAGACAACAATCTATTCCCAGGTAACCATGGTGATAAACATGGAAAGTATCCCCCGGACCATGTGTGGAAATCTGCTGATGCATCTATCAGTGACACGCTTCTGGTTGGTAATAAAGTTGATGACCATCATATTCTGAAGTCTGCTCTTACAAAAGAAACCAAGTCTATTGACAACAAGCCTGAGGGAAAAGATTACGGAGACTTTTCTAAACCAGAAAACGAACAATCGGTCATCAGAAAACATCATGAAACACAAGTTGGTCAATCAAAACATTCCAACTGTAAATCTGACGACATTATAGAAAAGACTTCCAGCACACCTCAGCTTAATGATATGAGAAGTGGAGATTCTTCAAAATTTTATCAAGGCAACAAAGCTGAGGAGCAGTTCCAAACTCCTGGTATAATTCCTAAAATGCAACCAGAATCCCCCACACTTTTCTCTAAAGCTAGTGACATCACGAATAACGTTTCCCATCCTGGTGACACAATTAAATCACCAACTGATGAATTATCGGATGGTAAATCTGCAAATACAGTGAAATGGCAAGCTGTTCCTCGCAATGATACGCAGAGAAAAAAATCTCCCGAAATCAAGTTGAAAGATGATGCTGTGAAAAATGATATTTTGAAGCTAAGTGAAACAGATGATTCTGGCGACACAATGAAGAAAAGAATTTCCTCTTCAAATCGAACTCATGATTTGGTTAAAAAAGCTTCAATTTCGGAAAAATCACAAAAATCAGGTTCAATTCCTGGTAAAATTTATAGCGATGGGTCAACAATTAATTTAGCTAACAAAAAGCCGGAGGACAATGATAATTCTGGGTCTGGACCTTGTGATTCTAAAACCAAGAAACCTCCGCAACCGAAACAAGTCGTAAAAGACAAAAAACCTGACAAAATGCTAACTAGCTCACAACCTTCAACGAAACCAAGCAGACGTCTGTCTACTTCAAAAGTTAACCGCCTGTCCAAAAATGGAATAATCAAACAAACCCCTTCTTTGAGTACTAAGAATAATAGGAAGCCATCTACTCCTCACGTCGGTGAGACACTAGAAAATACCAATTCCACCTTAACAGAGGTAATTCGTAAACAGTTCTGGCCAAGTAAAAAGGCTGATACACCGGATGATCGTTTAATCTCTCCAAAAACGTCGGATGAAGCTTACGAAAGTGCAAGTATTCCCGAGTTGGGAAACGATCAGTCTTCTAAAAGAAAGCCAGGTGATGATAGGAATAAGTTGGTAAATCCAAAAAACGAAGAGAGAGACGAAGGTTCCGACTTTAACTCTGAGCACAGTGATTCTCTTGCCAGGCCAGATACTAGTGTGGCAGCCAATAGCTTGGTTACTAGGATCACTGAACCTTCGTTTACCAAATCAGATGATAAAATAGTCAGTAAACATCCTTCCAATCCTCGGCAGTCATCCAAACCAAAATCTAACAAATTTCTAGTTGACCAACCTTGCACTGAATCAGATCAAAATGATGCTGAACTTGACAACACAACTGAAGAACAGTCTCTCAGTGATAAACCTTATCGTTCAAAAGGCATGACTCTTTCCAAAGAATGCTCAAATGCAGCAAATAAAAACAAAGATTCAGATTCTGTCGAAACTGAAGAACCAGAAAGAGAGTTGATTCCTCCAGATGAAAACATGATATCTTCTGATAACATATCTCCTGCTAATATTAACATGATATCTTCTGATAACATACCTCCTGCTAATCCTAACATGATATCTTCTGATAACATACCTCCTGCTAATCCTAACATGATATCTTCTGATAACATACCTCCTGCTAATCCTAACATGATATCTTCTGATAACATACCTCCTGCTAATCCTAACGTGATATCTTCTGATAGCATACCTCCTGCTAATCCTAACATGATATCTTCTGATAACATACCTCCTGCTAATCCTAACATGATACCTTCGGATAACATACCTCCTGCTAATCCTAACATGATATCTTCTGATAGCATACCTCCTGCTAATCCTAACATGATATCTTCTGATAACATACCTCCTGCTAATCCTAACATGATATCTTCTGATAACATACCTCCTGCTAATCCTAACATGATATCTTCTGATAACATACCTCCTGCTAATCCTAACATGATATCTTCTGATAACATACCTCCTGATAATCCTAACATGATATCTTCTGATAGCATACCTCCTGCTAATCCTAACATGATATCTTCTGATAACATACCTCCTGCTAATCCTAACATGATATCTTCTGATAGCATACCTCCTGCTAATGCTAACATGATATCTTCTGATAACATACCTCCTGCTAATCCTAACATGATACCTTCGAATAACATACCTCCTGCTAATCCTAACATGATATCTTCTGATAACATACCTCCTGATAATCCTAACATGATATCTTCTGATAACATACCTCCTGCTAATCCTAACATGATATCTTCTGATAACATACCTCCTGCTAATGCTAACATGATACCTTCGGATAACATACCTCCTGCTAATCCTAACATGATATCTTCTGATAACATACCTCCTGCTAATCCTAACATGATATCTTCTGATAACATACCTCCTGCTAATCCTAACATGATACCTTCTGATAACATACCTCCTGCTAATCCTAACATGATATCTTCTGATAACATACCTCCTGCTAATCCTAACATGATATCTTCTGATAACATACCTCCTGCTAATCCTAACATGATATCTTCTGATAACATACCTCCTGCTAATGCTAACATGATATCTTCTGATAACATACCTCCTGCTAATCCTAACATGATATCTTCTGATAACATACCTCCTGCTAATGCTAACATGATATCTTCTGATAACATACCTCCTGCTAATGCTAACATGATATCTTCTGATAACATACCTCCTGCTAATCCTAACATGATACCTTCGGATAACATACCTCCTGCTAATCCTAACATGATATCTTCTGATAACATACCTCCTGCTAATCCTAACATGATATCTTCTGATAACATACCTCCTGCTAATGCTAACATGATATCTTCTGATAACATACCTCCTGCTAATCCTAACATGATACCTTCGGATAACATACCTCCTGCTAATCCTAACATGATATCTTCTGATAACATACCTCCTGCTAATCCTAACATGATACCTTCTGATAACATACCTCCTGCTAATCCTAACATGATATCTTCTGATAACATACCTCCTGCTAATCCTAACATGATATCTTCTGATAACATACCTCCTGCTAATCCTAACATGATATCTTCTGATAACATACCTCCTGCTAATCCTAACATGATACCTTCTGATAACATACCTCCTGCTAATCCTAACATGATATCTTCTGATAACATACCTCCTGCTAATCCTAACATGATATCTTCTGATAACATACCTCCTGCTAATCCTAACATGATATCTTCTGATAACATACCTCCTGCTAATGCTAACCTGATATCTTCTGATAACATACCTCCTGCTAATCCTAACGTGATATCTTCTGATAACATACCTCCTGCTAATCCTAACGTGATATCTTCTGATAATATACCTCCTGCTAATCCTAACATGATATCTTCTGATAGCATACTTCCTGCTAATCCTAACATGATATCTTCTGATAGCATACCTCCTGCTAATGCTAACATGATATCTTCTGATAACATACCTCCTGCTAATCCTAACATGATATCTTCTGATAACATACCTCCTGCTAATGCTAACATGATATCTTCTGATAACATACCTCCTGCTAATGCTAACATGATATCTTCTGATAACATACCTCCTGCTAATCCTAACATGATACCTTCGGATAACATACCTCCTGCTAATCCTAACATGATATCTTCTGATAACATACCTCCTGCTAATCCTAACATGATATCTTCTGATGAATTAAGGACGATGAAGCAATTCCCTAAAGATACAACTAACAAAGTTTCAGCAAAAGTGGTGATCCCTCCCCACGGTGATAACAAAATATTATTAGAACATGCTCCAAGTAAGCCTAAAGAAACTGGCGAGAAGTCAGGTCTTGTTGAAACTGGAGAGCCAGACACAGAGCTCATCCTTCCTGTTGATAAGCAGATCATAATCATATCATCCGAACAAGATAAACTTACTTCTAAACCTATGCTGACACTGGATGTTTCTGTAATTCCAGCTGCCAGTGAAACACAGCCCCTCAACAATAAACTTGATGGTATAAAACTCAATAAGCCTTTAAATAAACATTTAAAAGATTCATCAACAAGGAAACTTCCAGCTAACAAATCTGGCGACACATTGAAAGAACAACCTTTGAATCGTAAACCTGTCAAACATAGCAACAACAAAGATTCATATCCTATTACATTTAAGGAGCCAAATGGAAAACAGATCCCTCTCGTCGATGGTAAAAGGAAGTTGTCAGAACCAGATCAACTTATTACTTCTGAGCCAGAAGCAACATTGGATTTGGCATCAGTTCCGATCGATTCTAAGATAAAGAATGATCGGAGTCCTGAAAGTGGTAGAGCAATGGAGGGGAACCCAAATATTCTGAATAAAGGAAAGAGTTCCCCGTCTAAGAAAGTGAGTTTTCAAACCCCATTGGATGAAACAAAAATAGTTGAACCATATGTGATTTCCGAGGACAGTTGGGACGAACAAAGGGAATCAGGCCATACTAAAAATAGACCAAGTCCTACCCAGCCACCGAGAGAAAGTTTTCCCAAGCAGAGAAGTCCAAATCAGCGGCGAAGTGGCCCCATGGGTCACTCCTCTCCAAGCTTGAAACTTCCCTACAAAATAAAATCGATATGTGATGATCTCACGAGCAACACTAATTACAAACGGAAAAGACCGAGATTCTCAAGTGGTCAATCAAAGGGTAAATTGTTGTCCATCTCTGCTGCTGAACCCTCTCCTCCGGAGGAGATGCTTCAGTCCGACGAAACTCCCCCTATCCAAAATGTAATCAAAGAAAACGCTACATCTCTCACAGATACACCACTTCCATCAAAACACAACAATGATGATCCATGCTTGAAACCAATCGAGTCTAATGAAGACCGAATATATCTTCCCGAGGGGTCAGCTTCACCCTCAGCGGGGGGCGAACCAGCCACAATGAGTCTCGAAGACCCTGAAACTGGCGATTTTGATTTGCACGAGTCAATTTTAGAGCTACAGATCATTCCTGATACCAAGGTTGAAGACAAAGCCTCTGACCACTGTGCAAATGACAGCTGCCCAACAGAGGAACCTAACTCTAAACCAGACAACAAAGATTGTGCAAGCACGGAAAGTGACACATCAAGTTCCGATTATGATATTCCATTCACTATTCCAGAAACAAGGTTTGCGAAAACCTTTGGTGAGCTACCTGTAAATCTACTCGAGGATGAGTCAATTCAACGGAAAATGAACCGCATGACAATATCTAGTACCCAGTTTATAAAATCTATTGAAGAGCTGAACGAGGAGATCCAGACAACTATAAGACGCGGATCTGCTAGCCCGCGGATATTCAGGGAAGATCCCTACTACTCAATAAGTCCACTTCCTGATAGATCAAAAAGTTATTCTCCGCCTACTGATCGTGGGTTTGTTACAGTCAACTATTGCTTTTCGCCAGATAGACTCAATTCTATTATGTCAACCAGTTTGGAAGAGTTTTCTTTGATGGAGCAACTCAGTTTTCTTCACAACAAGAACAAGGTTTCTGAAAAAGGCTGCAAGGATACCATGAGATCTGGTGTCGAAATACAAAATTGCAGAACTGAAGTTTCAGAATGTGTCAGGAGCAGTGAGAGTAATGATCAACGCATTTACTCCAAAAGTCCGCACGTTAATGTAAACTTAAAGAGTATCGGAAGAATAAAAAAGGAAGCGACGTCAAAAGTTGACACAAGATCAAACCTTCTTAAGCTGAAAAAATTGCCTAAAAGACAATCTTTTCCGAGTAAAACGAAAAAAGATCTTGGTAAATCGCCCCACGAGGGCAAGACGAAGTTAACAAAGGTGTCATCTAAACCTTTGGACACGAGAAAGAGTACTTATAGATTTTCTAAAGAGAGGATCACCACTTCCGTTAAAAAGGAAGCTAAATGTAACAATCAATCCAAAAACCTTTCGTACAAAATTCTAAAAAAAGATTCAGAAGATAGGACAGGACTTAAAAAGTCAGCATCAAACATTTCAATTTCATCGAAAAGCTCTGATTTGTTATATAGTGATCGACTTAGTCCAAAGTCACCAAACAATCTAAAAAAGAGGCCGAACCTCTTGGCCAAATCTGAGTCTCATAGTTCAGTGAACTCGTTATCATCGCTTCGGAGTACTTCAAGCAGCAGAAACGGCCGGGTATCCAGGGAATTAAGACGGGCAGCTCTCATTAAGAGTCACTCTAACAGTTCTACTAACAGTAACCTTGGTAACAGTTTTATGACCTCATTTGGATCGAACTCTAAAAAGATTGCGCAGATAAAAAAGCAGGCCCGTTCTAAAATAGATACAGGTTTACCGCACAGACCATGCCGTCGGGCTTCTCCTCAAGAAAGTCATACTCTAAATAATCATAACAACCTTCTCATCACAACTGAGTCCGGTATCATAGCAACTGAGGTCGGTATCATGGCAACTGAGGCCGGTATCGTGGCAACTGATTCTCTTTTCACAAATGACGATAACACTGTAAACAATTCCGAATCCTCCTGCTTGACTCCTAATCCTCTACAGAGTGAATCTGACGAGGACAACTTCCAAATGCGCCCATAAACAAGGTCATGTCTAATTTTCTGGTTTCTCTATTAAATAAAGATATTATTAAATGTTTAATCTTAATCGTTTTCCTAGAACAAAAACAAACTTCACAAATGATTATATCATCAATTTCATGCTTATATTATGCTTAAATGTATTACACGTAATATTATGCTTATGATGTCCTTGACTGATTATACTAAATGACCAAGGAGATTTCTAGACCTTCTTTTTCTTTTCTACCGTCGTAGATATAAGACTTTTAATCGCACGACAGTTGCATATCATATTAGGCACATCTAAATGTTGAACGAGTTTAAATCCTAGCTTAAAAGGTAATACCAACCTTTCAGGAAGCAGGAGCTCTAGAGGAAATAAGAAACTAATCAGATAATTAATCTCTTGGAGGATTTATTTGGACTGATTCTATGAAAATATAAATTAAGTTTATTGAGATTCTCAAATTTTGATTAGTATAATTAATGATGATTTTTGAAAATATTTGAACTATTATCAGTTTTAGCTAGCTTAAGTACATATAAGCCTTAAAACTAAGCCGGGTATTTTATTACGCCAATAATATAACATTAATAAGACGTAATAGTGAATACTAATCTAGTAATAGTAATACTAATACTGTTAGTGTTATGGTGTTAAGAGAAATACGATATTAACGTTTTGAGTTTGTTATTCTCTATTAGAAAAGTATTCTAAGTGATTTGTATTCATATTATATTGTATATATACCGCTTAGACTTTACATATTCTGATGGCGCAAAGCAATTCAAGTATTAATTTGAAAAATAACATGCTTGGAAATTCCTAATTTTCGTTTTCAGACCTCTTTCTAGAAAGTTGAGTTTAAATTACAAAGAAAACTATTAGTATTATGTATATGAGTTCTGAAGCTTATTATAACTATAAAACACAACGTAAAAGTAGCTAAATCTATAACTCTACTATTATTAATAGTGTAATCGCATTATACGCAGTTAGATTATCGTATATAATAACCTTGTGGATTTTACACATTATCAAAACCGCCAAATTAAAGTAGCTTTGCAAATAAAATGAATAATAAACAACTGAATCGTTGGGTTAAAAATGCCCCGATATAGTCTGATTATGATTGGTCAAATATAAAACAGTTTAACAGTAATTCTAACATATCAGTTAAGGTAAATTGTAGATATACTGAGAGTCTCCAATATTAATCTATCTAATAATCCCAGAATGTGTGTTTTCTGTCTGTCTGTCTGTTTGTAATTTCCGAGCGGCTTAATCAAGAAAACGGTAAGAGTTGCGTGACTGATTTTTTCGGTAAAGTGCCGACAAAACTCTGACGAAGTAAAATGATAAAGGTTTTTTAAATCGGTCGTTGGTAAGTGGTTTAATTGATGGTTTTGTACCACAAATGTTACATAAAATGGCTTGAGCAGAACGGTAAGAGTTACGGGGCTCGCATATGTAGCTGCATAATTAGTGTAATTGAGTTACCCGGGTAAGATTTGCTGTCTATACTATAATCTCATTAGGGGAGGGGGCACTGTTTGGAATGCAGAGAGAGAGTTCATACTTTCATACGACAATGTTATGCGTGTTCACAAATATGATAGGCGGGTGTGGTGTTAAGGGTTAATTTCTATTGATTATTGTTTAATATACTATTACTATTGTTTAAGCTTTTAAGATACCATTGGATACGTGAGGGCACTCCGAATAGAATTGCTCACCTAATGCGGGTTTTGACTCAACGGGTAAATGCTCCTACCCTTTTAACTGCGGCAGTGAAATCCCGGCCGAAGGCCGGGTTACACTAGTAAGTTAATAAAGCCCTAAAGGACAGGTAGTTAGGCAATAATAATTTAATTAGGTAATTTGATGTACTTGAAGTTGTAAGACACAACGCTCAGTTGAAACGATAATATCTACAAAGGGGTGGACCGAAACACACTAATAAAACCTAGGTCGGGATACTTATTATAGGCTCCACGAGGGCGTACCTACCGCCCTCGAAATATGATCTTGCCTGATTAGCCAGGAGATGCGGGCTATCACTTACCTCGATCATATCCTCCTTCAGGTCTCACCAGGGTCTGGGATCGTACAGTTCCACTAATATAGTGACACCCAACCTCATGGACTGGTGCATTACCACCTGCACCACGATTATATGCTGGGAACCGCGAGGGCTCCCAGTCTTAACACTGTCAATGATAATTATAGCACAGGACTGTCCCTGTGCTAGTGCCTCTTAGGTCACATACTTGTATGTTTTAAGTCTAGTGAAGTACGCTTATTTAAGGGGCCAGAATCGAGCTTCTGACATCAAGGTAAATAAACTAATCATTGGATACATACATTTGTTAGCGATAGAATAATTTAACACGGTATAGTCTAAGGCCACTCTAGGAGTACTCACCCAGTCGTTGATAGGAAAGAAGCGTTAGCAGGAGAGAAGTCTCCGGACGGGGCGGCATCTGAAGTAGCGAGGTCCTTCTGCAACTGCTGGGAGCTAATCCGAGGTATGAGTTCTCCTAGTCGGCATTCTGAGATCTGCGATAGCGGCGTGGTCCTCTAGATCCAGGATCCGTGATCTCCGCGAGGGCTGAGCTGCGTAACGTAATTGCCTGTAAGAGAAGTCCCCCGATCTCTGCGTCTCGGCGCGTCTGACCCCGGGTCCAATGCCAGGTTCCCTTGACCCCGTCTCCGATTTCCAGTTAATTAGGGGCGGACTATCGTCGTGGGGCGATCGGAGCTCCGTTCCATGGGAATTGGTACGTTGAGTAGATAAGGTAGTTGGACATCGCCAACGGTCAGAGCGGGAAAACTTGTTCTGGAAGATACTGGAACGGGGTAGAAGTTTAAGGCCACGTATAATGATTACGTCTCCAATGGACACTGTACAAGCGAAGTATCGCGAGCATTCGGCGTGATTAAAATAATATACTGGCATCTTATCTACCAATCGGGGTTTCTTACAGAAGTTAATTAAGGTCACATAACCTAGCTGAAACGACTGAAACTCCTAATTAGATATACGGAACAATGTCGGAGCAATATTTTATTAATTAAAATTTTACATTTTTTATGGACAGTGATTACTGACTACAGCAGTGCAGCTGGATTTAAAAACGTAAGTAGAACGATTATACCACTATGACCCGAAATTGTTGTAGCAACTCAATCCTCAACAAAGACATGAGAGTCATTGATTTACCCTAAATTTTTAATATCGAGTAACCATCGGGAATATATCGCAAACGCAGCTATCTTTTACTTGAGATGATGGAACCATGAACAACTGTCTTTGTCACAGAGGTCAATCTTCGTAGGAGGGAACGGAAGAGACGATAAAAAGGAATGGAAAGGGTGGCAGTATATTCTTTGGAGGGATGTTAAAGTTGACAACGTTTATAATCTGAGGAAAATAAAGTGTAAGAAGTTTGTTGTTCAAAAACTACTAATCTGGACAAACTGAAAATTTTCACACAGAAAATCATTGTTTTGCCACAATTTAAACTGTAAAGTCATAAAAAAGGCTTAAAATGAAATTGAAAGGGATTTAACTTATTACGTTCATAGATTGCACTGATTAAAGTTATAACATTGATTAAAGTTTAAATGATTACAATGATGACTGTATAGCATTAGCTCTCCTGTGTGGTTGTATCAAGTATAACCCGCTAATTCTAAAATTGAAACTCACCTTTTGTTCAACAATGATATAGAGTTAGTTCTTGATCCGAAAACCCCGCTTACTTCTCTGAGAAAGTAAGGGTATATATTAAACTAATTACAACATTACAAATCATTTACATTTATTGAGGACGTTACAGAAGGAATTAATGTAATGTAGTTTGAGGAGTCCTCACTCTCCTCACGTCCAACATTGGCGTTTCTCTTGTCACTAATATGGGTGAATGATCGACCACCTCCTATTACAAACACCTTATGTTTCGCCAAAACTTGTCTGAAAAGTGTAACAGGGTGGTGGCGCTGGTATTGGAATTTAACACACTAACACAGTAACCATGGTTACCACCGTTACCTATATAGCGATCAGATGGTATACCGATGGCACGGATATATTGTATGCCGAGTACCAAATTAATTTTTCACCGAATATATTCATGATCGATATTGTATCATAGATAGCCAGATAGCAATGTAGATGTGATTAATTCAACATAACAATAGTTTCGACCTACAATATCAGTAAAGGAGTACAGCCACAGGGGATAATGATGGTGTGATTTGGAAGATTATAGTCCTTATATGGATATCACGTGTCTTTCAGTCACATTACTACATCCTGAGAGATAGATAACTGGTTAGATTACATTCAGGAAATGTCTTACACTCCAGAACTTGAAGTATTAGTGGTTCAGATCAATTAGAGCTCAACAAAATTGCAATTGACATGGTCACAAATAAAACATCCAATTCGCCGAATTTAATACTAACACTATCATATTTACACATACATGCTTATTTTGAAAACAGTGTCATATGTCAACAAAATTTACTCATTAAACCCATAAACGAATATGTTCGGCCATGCATTTTAAAAATTTTTTGAAGTTTTTGTAACTTTATTTCTTCTAAGCTTATGTTGGAGACATCTTATGCGGTCCAGTGTTGTACCCTTTGTAAAGTTCAATACATGACTCAAATGTTACTTTACGTTTACTGTCACCTATTGCTATATAAATATTTTCCAATATCAACCAATCGCTCGAATCTGTGATTAGCCACACTTCAACGGCCTTTCTTGTGTCGAAAGTCCTTTCACATCCTTGTGGTCCATCTCTTCTTTGGTCTGTATTTCTTTCAGGATAATACCATGTGTTATAATTGGTGATACATTCATTGTGCCCTTGTTTAATCCTCATGTAGTAATAAGCACTGTTCCCATCAGCATTTTTTTTGTCGCAAACCTTGAATCCTAAATAGGTTATCGGCCTACAAGCATCAAGTGTTCTTGATTCGGATTTTTCAACATCGTTTGCACAACTTTTACCATGGTCATTCTTTACACTGTCATCACACGTTCTCGTCCTCGTCCTCTTCTGCGGAAAGCCTGTATGGTCGCTAGGACCACATCTTCCTTGATCTATCCATGGACCCCAATCTTCCCATTCACCCAACTTACCATCTTTGAAATCTTTGACGCAAGCCGGAAATGATTTGTAAGTTGGACTACATCTGTCACAGAGGTTACCTCCTACATGCTCCTTGCAATTGCATTGTCCAGTTTGAGCATTGCAATACTGCGCAGAGACCCCATTGTCATCACATTTACATTTATTGCAGTTTGGGTATCCGAAGTATCCTACAGAGCATTGCTTACAAATAGGGAAGTTTGTGAAACCTGTTTGGCATTCGCTGCAGTCAGCATTTCCGACGTGTTCATCACAGAAGCAGGCTCCTGTTTCTCCATCACAGATCGAACTTGTCACACCATTCTCATCACAATCACAGGCGATACACTCTAGGTCAGGTAGGGTCTTACTCTTATAAGCACCTGGAAAACATAAACACTTGTAGCTTCCTTCAGTATTTTCACACATTCCCAATTGGCTTCCTCTCAGGCACTTTTCAAATCCAATCCCTCCAAATCTGCATTCATTCTCATCTTCACATTTGCAATTAAGTCCTGCTGTGTATCCTGATAGGCAACTGCAATCGAAGGATCCGACCGTATTGTAACATGTTCCCCCAAACCCACAGAGGTCAACTTCAGCTGCACACTCGTCGATATCAGTTGCTACAAAAACTTTCCACACACCTGGGATTTGTGTTGTTAGTTATATATAAGATTGTTTGTTAACAATGATGTTCTACTGTTTTGTAATTAAGGGGGGGGGGGGGGGGGGGGGGGGGGGGGTTCACCCTGATTTTTTTGTGAAACTTGGTTTCGAGATAGCAGTTGACCAACAAACTAGGACCGGTGACCGAACTTTTGAGGGGGTCCCGGACCCTAACCGCCAAACGGCGCCCGCGGGGCAGCCACGCCCATATTTGGTCTAAATTAGGCCCAATTTAGCCAAATTCCCTGAACATGCCCAAAACCAAGATTTTAGGTGCTCTACTTGTAGCTAGTGGTCCCCTGAACTCGTACATGAATTTCTATCAAGATTGGATAAAAATGACTGAGTTACGAGCCAAAAACCATATGCCCATATTTGGACATACGCACCAAATTTGATCGATTTTGGCCCATAAATTGGCCAAATATCAATATTTTTGAATGAAACCAACTTCATATGGAAGGTAAGCCTATACTACACATTCTCTATGATTATCAGCTCAGTATCTACCTAACTATGGATTCTGTGTTCAAATAATGGCAAAAATAAACAAAATCGCCCATATCTCAGTTCGCGATATTTGCGAAACTGATTTCGTTCAAAACAATAGAACTCAATAGGGTTTCAATATTTTTACATGAAATTTTCAGAATCAACGTAGAATCGCATTTCAACCTTAAGTTTTAATATGGAATTTTGAGTTAGGCCTTTAAAAAAATTTGGCGGCCAAATTCTGAAATTTGCCGGGCATTTTTCAGAATTTGGCCGCCAAATTTTTTTAAAGGCCTAACTCAAAATTCCATATTAAAACTTAAGGTCGAAATGCGATTCTACGTTGATTCTGAAAATTTCATGTAAAAATATTGAAACCCTATTGAGTTCTATTGTTTTGAACGAAATCAGTTTCGCAAATATCGCGAACTGAGATATGGGCGATTTTGTTTATTTTTTGCGATTATTTGAACACAGAATCCACAGTTAGGTAGATACTGAGCTGATAATCATAGAGAATGTGTAGTATAGGCTTACCTTCCATATAAAGTTGGTTCCATTCAAAAATATTGACATTTGACCAATTTATGTGCCAAAATCGATCAAATTTGGTGCGTGTGCCCAAATATGGGCATATGGTTTTTGGCTCATAACTCAGTCATTTTTTGTCCAATCTTGATAAAAATTCATATACGAGTTCAGGGGACCACTAGCTACAAGTAGAGCACCTAAAATCTGGGTTTTGGGCATGTTCAGGGAATTTGGCTAAATTGGGCCTAATTTGGACCAAATATAGGGGTGGCTGCCCCGCGGGCACCGTTTGGCGGTTGGGGTCCGGGACCCCCTCAAAAGTTCGGTCACCGGTCCTAGTTTGTTGGTCAACTGCTATCTCGAAACCAAGTTTCACAAAAAAATCAGGGTGAACCCCCCCCCCCCCTAATTGATATAAAATGTGTGCTTAACTTAAAAATACAAATTGTAAACTTACCAGATGATGATGCAATATCTGCCAAACATGTTGTCTCGGTTGCCTTAATTCCGTCATCATTCTTCCATTCATGCCCAGCGGGCGGTTCTTCTAACAGTCTGGTTTCTCCTATCTCATAGACCTTTCCATCGAATTCACACTTCGTTATGCACTTTAGGTCCTCAACACTGACAGCCCAAACGCTGTTACCGCCTGCAAGTTACCTCTGATATAGCTTCGCCTGTAGATGCACAAACTAAACCTTTTTTAGGGTCGTAGCACTGCATTGGTACAGACTGTCCAGCGTAGGTCATCGAGGAGCCACATCCTCCGCCCAGCAAACCTGGCATTTCAAATCCTGCACAACTCCTTGTTCTGGCAACTTTCTTGAACTTATTTGTATCCAACACTACAGTTCCCTGAAGAAGCTTCTTTTCGTATTCAAGAAACTCTCTTTCGTCCTGAGTTGAACTACCTTTTATCCTGTATTCCAAATTCCACATTTCCATTGTGTTCAAGGTAAGATGAAGTGAAAGCAGTTCAGCCCAAGATGATTTGACCTGCTTTTCATAGTCATCAGTACAACCAGAAATCATATATATTTGCATTTGAGCAACTATGAAAGAATCTGTCTCTGCGAGGATTGCATTCTTGACGGACTCCTTTGATACATAAAGCATTTGTTCAAATAACCTCATGTATTCGCTAAAGTCTTTTTCTGCATAACCTCCATACTCTATTGCCAGCTCAAATTTCATCTGGTATACTGGAATATACAATTTCAATTCCTTAAAGTATCGGTTTTGGATGATCTTTCCTGTTAAACGGTTCATACTATCGAGGACTTCTTTGTTAGCTGAGCTAATTGTACTAACCAACAATTTTTGTCCTTCGTTGGTCCTATAGATTCTATCGTTCCGTTCTCTTTCTAAAGCGCTTTCCATCGCACTCTGAAAACCAGAAAACTCCGATAAAAGCTTTGAATTTTCAGCTTTTAATTCATTCAGCATAATCGATTGAGCAGAAAGCACGGCATTTTGGCTCTTTCGGATTGCAACTTCTGTTCCTCGAATTTCTTTGAATATCTCCATCTTATTGTCCTCCATTCCCAGCAAGACCTTATCTGTTCCTTTTTTTATGTCATCTTGCAGGTCAAACATGCCTGGAACCTTGTACATTTGCACAAAACTCTTCACAGATTCTCCAAGGTTAGCTGACGGATTATTTTCGAGCGGAATTTCACAAGTGTCCCCTCCAAAATTTATATCACAAAGACAGTAAGGAAAACTACCATCGCCTGACATTGCTATCTCGCGTCCATTCACACAGCTAAAATCACTTCTGTCCTCAAAGTTGAATAAAAATTCTAAATCCACCATGAATCCTTTCTTATCATTTTGTCTTCCAGATCCAATATAATTATAATTCTGCCACGTAAATTTGTAAAACATCTCCATTGTGGTTTTAAAATGCCATCCAGTTAGTTCAAAATCAGAGCTAGAGTCAGATTTAAACATGAAAATTTCCATCCTATTTTGTTCGATCAAGGACTTTAAAATAGCATCTCTTTCCAATATTTCTAACACCTTATCTAATAAGCCAATATATAAGACAGAGTACCATTCGTATCCGGGATCATCATAAAGCGTCAGTTCACGTTCCTCATTCTTTGATGAGTCCAAAACCTTCTTGATGCGCTCCGTTGCATCATTAACATCTCCAGTCGTTGATTTGGGTACCATCATCAGACTTAGACGCTCTTTTTTCTTTTCATCGTCAGATTTTGCTGTCAATTCTATATCTAATTTAGCAACTAATTTGCCTTTCAATGCCAAGAAATCTGTTGTACTTTGCACTTTTAATGTCGCCCAATCATAGATTATGTATTTGTCACCCAGTTTTTTGATGATATCCTTTACCGTTTCGTCATTCCCGTACATGATCTTCACCTCCTGAAATAATTTGAGTATTAAGATGATACGAGAACAATAAATATTGTATAAAAAACTTTATCAAAGGGTTTCCATAGCTCTTTTTTGCGTAAAATTTACAGTTAACATAAAGTAATTATCGTAGTAACTATCAAAAGTTAAACACTTTTTAAGCATGTGATATCAATAACGTTAACAATAACAGTGAACAAAATAGTCGAACCTCTTGAGCAACAGTAGCCGCCTTTCTTGTACATTCTGTATACTGGAGGGCTATGTCTTTGTACATGTCGTATATCATTTTCGGATATCCTTTGTCATCATCAGGTTTGATCAGCTGCTGGTTCAGTTCGTAGTAGAATTGAAGCTTTTGTGCGTTCTTCACTGTTATCATCAGTTTATTGGTCATTGGGAGGATCTTGCTGCAATCACCATCCACTGCCTTCATAAAAATCTCAAGTAAAGTTTGTCCTTTGACTATCTCTGATTTTCCAAGGAACAGATTATTGACAAGCTGTATAAAATTTCCTATGTCTCCAGTGTCTCTGATAGCAATTGTTAAATCTTCCATGTAACCTTTCACGTCAAGTGGTAGCTCTTTTGTGGAATCGACAGCATTAAATGTTTTCTGGAGATTTTCATACTTTTCCATGATATGGTCCACGTTGGTTTCAAACGTTATCAAGCTAGTTGATATAATATTCCAATCCTGTGATTCCTGGATGTTTTCAAGCTGAGCAGATACTGAGTTTAGCTTACCAGTTATACTTGCAAACCCGGATTCGATAGCCTTCAGCTCTTCTGACTTGCTTTTGGGCATGAAGAGAAGAACGATGTCCATGACCGGTCCAATAAACTGTACACAACTTGCTAACACGCCTAAAGCTTTTAAGCCCTTTTTCAACATGTTGTTGCCCTTGAACATCGTTTTTATTTTTCCATAATCCGTATCACCAGATCCTTTGCTGTTTTTCTCGATCGATCCATCCGTCTTAGTATCTGCTCCTGATGATGCTCCTGATGATGCTCCTGATGATGCTCCTGATGATGCTCCTGATGATGCTCCTGATGATGCTCCTGATACTCCACCTTCATCTTCTAATACGATTTCCTGCATTGCAACTAGAGAAGCAACAACTGTTTTGAATCGGTTCGTATGTAAAGAAGCTTTGACCCAATCGAAACTATCATTAGTCAGGGATTCCATCATCAAGCTTTTCTCAATCCAAGGATCAAGATCTTTGTTACACTCTAATGTCAATGACGTACAATTAGAACTCTGCTCACAAGCTGCCATAAAAACCATGACCACCATCACTTGAAGCAATGTTGATCCTACCCTATCAAGGTAGTTCATCGTATGACCTAGAAAAAGATTGCATGATTTTAATATAATTTTAATTGTTGACAAAATTTACCAAATCATTTAGTTTCACTTAACTTCTTTATCAGATTGTAGGACTGAATCCCTAACGGACGGAATCACTACCACCCAAATATCACTACTGGTAGTGATTTAGTCTGTTAGGGATTTGATCCGAAAATGTACCTCAATCCCTACCAGTTGATCTTAGTTTGCTAGTTCTAATATCATGACATGATCTGAGTCGGGGCTCTCATGGAGTGCATGCTATGGGGCCTGTCAGACATGTGATCCACAGACTTACGTACGCAACGAGGAGCCCTAACGAGAACTGGTTCGGATCAAGTCATCCAAAATGACCTGCTATACGACAATACTGAATACAGTGATGTGAACCTTCACATGCTCGGTATATCAATCAGCTAGCGGGAATAATATATAAACCCGCAACGTCTGTGTTAACCTTATACCAATATGTCTTCCTCATCCATCGAGTTTATTCCTGGCAGAAAGAAAAGCAGCCGCAACGTCCTCTACGATGGTCACCTCTACCACCTTAACAGAAAAAAGGAAGACAAGACCTACTGGAAGTGCAACAAGTGCAAGTCCCGCCTGATCCTTGTCCAGGACACCTTCTGTTCTGCTACCACGAATCTCAACCAGCACAAATTGCAGCCCACCGCTCCAAGTCTAAAATGAAGACCCTCGCAGCTACTACTGAGAACTCAACTAAGCAGATTGTTGGAACAGCGGCTTCGCCTCCTTGGTCAACTGTCACAACCCTTCCATCTGGGAGTTCTTAGAGTGCATCAAGAAGGAGCAGGCTTTGACAGACGTGAAGATCACCAACATCCTCACCAGAAGACCCTTCAAGAGAGCAGCAAAGTGGGAGAAGTTTGACCTGGAGATTCAGCGTACTGTTGATGATTATGATAACTTTGGGGATGTTACCGAGTTTCTGAAAGCTGTTGGATCTAAAATTTTGGGTTAATGCTTTAATGTTTACTTATTTTTGTGTGATTTAAATTACTGTATCAGTATATTATCTAATATTCTTTGACCAAATTTCTGCTTAGTCAATTATCACGAAAAATCTAATAATAATTAACAAAAAATGAAATAATTAACTAATGAAATACGAATAATTATGCCTTGGTCTAGATAGTAGCAGTAGTGATTTAGTCCGGTAGTAATTCAGTCCGAAAATATACCTCAATCCCTACTAATAGTGATTGGTAGTGATTCAGTCCGTTAGGGATTCAGTCCGGTAGTGATTCAGTCCGCTCACCTAACTACGTAATGCTCCACTATCATACGACCGCCATTAATATACTAACCACTATAACCACCTACCTAATTCAGCGACCTAACCTTAACAGGTTCTAGCGCCCGAACCTGCACGGTATCAAATTGACCCACCTCTCGATCGGGTAAACTGTCACTCCTCTATCCCAAAAAGCTAACCCTCTCTCCCTCCCGCCCCTGATAGTCTAAACAATCTTCCACTCCGTGTTACTGTTAGCAATCTCTAAACAATCCTCCACTATCCAGTCGATAGCCACGCCATTGTAACCTTAGTAATCTATAAACACTCCATAAATCAACCTCGTGTTGACCCAAACATATGTTAAACCTTTTACTACAGTACTTGCCCTAGCTAAACAATTCCTAACTATCCTGGCGATAGCTCCAACCAAGTAACCCTAGTAAATTATAAACACTCCATAATAGGTAGTGCGCCATCGACAGTGAGCCGCGCGTGCCGACTGTAGGATGGTTTTTTAGCGCTAATTTCGGCCAGCACAATTTTCTTCAAACGAATAAATATTGAGTATCCTTCCCCACCTCCAATTGCAACAAAAATTGGTAAGCTTACTCATAGACTTACAAGGAAAGTGTCCGAAAAATTTAAAGCATATCCAACCATCTAATCAGAAATTACGTTACAGCTAAAAGCAGCGTATTTTGCCCCATTTTGATCACTATATCAACTCCGATATCAACCAAATTTTTCGGACAGTTGTGAAAGCTTTATTGGAACGTCGTCGCCAATTTTCAGATTGATCTCATTCAAGGAACTGAAGATATAGTCTTAGTAATCACCTCCTAAGAAGTCATAGTAATCACCACCTAACAGACTCTTCAAACCTTCGAAATCCTAAGAATAAGTCCTAATCCTCGCTTCACGTCCCCTACTCATCTCCTTCATCGTCTCATCAACTTATATATATATATGGGTAAACTAGACCTGCAGAAGCCAGGGGAACGGCCCATAGCAGGGTAACCAGGATGGCCCGGTACCCAAAAACCTCTCATCAACTTATCGTAGTCTTTAAGTCTAACCTATCTCCTTGAACTTGATTTTATGCACACATCCAGAATTTTTATTAACATTTAAATTTATTATATTTGATTTTATTTTCACTTCGTGATATTGTAACGCGGTTAAATTTTAAGATTTTATTTTCATACTTTTATTCGGCTTGACTTATTCATTGTGAAAGGAAAATGTCCATCATTAATGGGACAATCTTGGAAAACCAGATTTTAGGAGATTATTGGTTGGAGACATGAACACTGAAGAGATCAAAGACTACTATTTCTTCTTGTTTTGATTTTTCCCCCATGTGTCGAATTCCAGTCCTGTGTGTGCCTTTTACCTCTTAGTCAGAGACCCTCAGAGAGGTAAATCACAGAGTCTTTCAAGAATTCTGACTTTTCCATCTTGCATCTGTATCCTTGGTTTTCCAATCGACTAATCACTTCGTTGAGTATTCTCAGGTGTTCCTCTCTGTCCTTTCCGGAAACGAGGATGTCGTCCACTCTGCAACATCACATCGAACACTCATTGACCAGACCATCAATGCCTTGGCAGAGAGTTCAAAATAAAACAGATATTCAGAATAATACAAATATTATATTCAAATCTCTTTATTCAACAATATAAGATCATTATAGGAACCTAATTTGTGGCTTTATCGTTATGTTAGGGCTATTCTGTTAGCTGATGCTGACAGGCACCGCATGGGGCAGAGACTTAGGACCATTACGCTGGAGGCGTACAATGACCCTTTTTGAACCCCATGGCAGTGCTAGTTTTATTATGGTACAAATTGTAAAGCGAAGTTATGAAAACGATCAGGTCACTCCTGTTTTACACTATCAACAGCTACTTAAAACAACCTAGATTGTACAACTCACTTTGAAGATTAAACCGTGAAGTGATGAGTGATTGGGCTCATTAAACATTTTAGTAGCGGAGACATGCGGATCAGCTTCTTGAGGTTCTAATACTCTAATAGTTCATTCAGACAAGAAGTTTTACTTTTCAAATTTAGTCGTTCAAGCTGCCTGAGTTCAGGAAGTTTGCCAAAGGGGCCCAGGTATTCTGGTCACCTTTACCCTGGGACGAGAGAATAACTTTTATAGAGTTCACAATAATTACGCTGGACCGTTTCTCAACAGCATGTGGTTAGTAGTTCATGACGCTTATTCACGTTGGCCTGAAGTGGTAAAGATGAATAATAACACCACATCATCAGCAACGATCAGAGCTTTGAGAACCATTTTCAGTAGATTCGGACTACCGTTTGTTATAGTACGTGACAACGGAACAAACTTTACTAAGCTTCGCAGGAGTTCGGGGATTTCTTGAAGAGGAACAACATACACCACTTAAAGACAGGAACGTATCACCCTAAAATAATTGATGCTGCGAGAGATTTGTAGGAACATTCAAAGACGCGATGAAGAAGATGTATGAAAACTGTAAAGATGTTGACAAGAACGTAGCAAATTTCTTGGTTAACTACAGAATCACTCCGCACAGCGTTACTGGGATACCACCGTCTGAAGCGCTATTTAAGAAGCTCTCTGTAAGAACAAGGTTGAATAACGTATTTCCAGCAGATCGTGAAACCTCTGAAAGATTGAACATGGATAAAGAAAGGAAATACTGAATGCCAGCAGAATCAGAAACCGCCAGTTTGAAGACAAACAGAAAGTATACGTGCAACCACAGAACTAAGACACTTGGAGTCAAGGAGAAATTCAACTAAGAACCGGGAACTATTACATGTACGAAGTTATGTTTGATGGAAGAAATGTGATTAAACACGCAGACCATATCAAGCAAAGATCAGTACCGGTACTACAACCAGCAGAGACGTCGGAAAAGGACAATTCTCCAGAGACTGAATGTTTTACTTTACCTTATTCTAGTACGGTTGTGTTGTCAGAACAATTAACCGAAGTTGATTTACCTAACACACTTCTCAGAACGAACGAACCAGAGTTAACTAACAACTTAACAATAACCCCAGTTCAAGAAACTAACCAAACTCGCAGGTGATCAGAGCGGTTAGCTCTAAAACCTAAACGATCTTATGAAATATATCGTTAAGATCGAAGATTTTACACACAATTGTTTTTGAGTATTACACGAATTTTATACGGTGAATTTTTATACAATATGTACAGTTAACTAAATAAGCCAGAGTAAGAAATCCGAGAAAGATATTGTTTTTCAATAATTTTGTTTTGTATAATTAAAGTATCGTGCATTTATAAACCAGAATTGATTGATTATTTCGTTTGAAATGTGTCAAGCGAAATAAAAACTTTCCTTGTAAAACGTTCTCAAACAGTTCCATTTTTATTACACTTTATAGTTTATAAAGCCTAATTTGGCATGATATCAGATCATGTGATATTACATGGCCCCATGGAGCATTGCCAGAGCAATTGCCAAAGCAATTGGCCGGAGAGCTCCATAGAAGTAAGGGGCCTTATACTGTAGCAAACAGTTCTACTACTAGCAAAGACTTAAATTAATTACCTGAGGTAGTCTCACGACAATTAGTGCAATGGGCGTTTGACTGCGTAGTGAATCTGATAGCCTCAATTTTGCTTCAAGGAGGGAAGGTAGCCTCAATCCAACCTCACAAAAGTTTCGATAAAGTCACAATAACCTTCGGGCTACAACCCTCTCACGACAAT